TAAATTTGAATGAATTTAAAATTAAATTGAAATAGCCACATGTGGCTGGTGAGTACCATCTTCAAGAGCACAGCTCTTGTATTTTTTAATTAATTAACTTTAAATTTGAATGAATTTAAAATTAAATTGAAATAGCCACATGTGGCTGGTGAGTACCATCTTCAAGAGCACAGCTCTTGTATTTTTAATTAATTAACTTTAATTTTTAAATTTGAATGTAGTTGATACCCAATGTTACATTAGTTTAGGTGTACAGCAGAGTGATTTAATGAGTCTACATGTTATGCTATGCTCACCACAAGTGTAGTTATCATCTGTCACCTACAACACTATGACAATACCATTGACTGCATTCCCTATGCTGTGCCTTTTATTTCCATGACTCATTCATTCCATAATTGAGAGCCTGTACTTTGTACTCTCCTTCATCTATTTGGCCCACTCTCCACCTCTGTTCCCTCTGGCAACCATCCGTTCATTCTCTGTATTTATAGGTCAGATTCTGCTTTTTTGATTGTTCATTTGTTTCGTTTTTTAGATTTCACATATGGTCTGGACATTAGACGTTATTCCATGTGCATCGAGAGATCCTTAAAGGATCTAGGATAATAAATATGCATATTTGGGGTGCCTGGGTGGCTCAGTGGGTTAAGCCGCTGCCTTCGGCTCAGGTCATGATCTCAGGGTCCTGGGTTCGAGTCCCACATCGGGCTCTTTGCTCAGCAGGGAGCCTGCTTCCCTCTCTCCCTCTCCGCCTGCCTCTTATCTACTTGTGATCTCTCTCTGTCAAATAAATAAATAAAATCTTTAAAAAAAATAAAAATAAAAAACAAATATGCATATTTTGTTTTCTTTTGTTTAATACAGTCTATGAAAGTTTTAAAATATATTCTTGATTGTTATTAAACTCAAAATTTAATTTCATGATATTTCTCTCATTCACATTTATCCTTCCATGAACAACAAATTTATACTGAACAGGTGTAAAGAAGACCTGAGGAAAGAAGGATGCTAAACACAATTATACAAATGCTCTTCTTTGGGTACTTCCAGTAGTTTCAGCAAAAATTATATATATCATTTATCCCTTTTCTTCCTGGAAACTTGCATCATAAATGACTCACTCTACTGCATCTTTAATTTTTCCTTGTTAACCAATATGCTTAGGTTTCTTCTATTTCAGTAAGAAACTTTTCTTTCCTACATGTGAAAGCTCAGCCTCATTGGAGGCTCTTCTTTGCTTCCCTAACACCACTATCCCTCATTTCTCTCATCCACCTTCATGACTGAATTTGCCCCTAATTTATTGAAGACATTGGTTCCTCCATTATCCTAAATTGACTTTAAGATCTAATATCCATTCAAAATCTTGCTTCATAGCTTCCAGAAATCCTCAAAACTATTCACCTAAGAATCCAGTTGTTATTTTTGAAAAGACAATAAACACAATATTTTATATCAGATGAAAGAGAAATAACATATTAGACAAAAGAAGAATTACAAATCAGTAGAATAAGTATGTTCAAAATGATAGATGAAGATAATGAAATACAACAAAAAACAAATTATTTTGACTAAAATCAAAATGGAGATAATAGGTATGCAAAGTATGAGGCTTGAGGGCAAAGAAAGAACATTTATAAGATTCTAAAAGTTTAAAAACAAGATCTATGAAAGACCAACAATGAAATTTTTCAACACTGGGTACAGGAAGCAATGGGATAATAATTGAAGTGTTAAAGGTAAAGAACTTTGAACCTAAACATTTATAACCAATAAAGTATCCCTTAAGTACATGGGTGACATAAAATTGTTCTAAGGCATTAAAAACTCAAAAGTTTTAAAGCTAAAAGGCCTTTGAAAAACACTCTTCCAGGAAGTATTCCAGTTAGATGAAAAGTAAAATTATGAAATCTATACAAATGAAAAATGGATAAATAGGGGCACCTGGGTGGCTCAGTTGGTTGAGGGTCCATCTCTTGATTTCAGCTTAGGTCTTGATCTCAAGGTCTGCTTTTCTCCTTTTCCCTCTCCTCCTACCCCTGCCCCCCAGCCCTGCGTGCACGCTGTCTCCCTCTCTGTCTTTAAAATAAATAGATAAATCTTCTAGAAAAAAAGGAAAAGAAAAAGAAAAATGAGTAAATAAAAGTAAACTTTTTGTGGCCTAAACAAGAATATAGATAGAGAGAAGAGAGAAAGAGAGAGATACTGTAAGTCCCAATATAGGATGATAGGTGAGAACAAGGCGATAAGACCATACTAAGGAAGATTTTTACTTAAGGATATGACATAGATCTTGCTGAACAAGGATATAGATATAGAAAAAGATATAACTATTGCATCTTAAAAAATTAGAGTAACGAAAAAAGACCTGTTCAATGGAGGATAGAAAAAAAAATAACAAATAATGAAACAAAGTATAGTAATTTTAAAACATTAAAAAAGTAATAAATCCTAGAAGTAATAAAAGGAATGTAAATGAGCTAACACACTGCTTGAGAAACTAACTCTCAAACTGGATTTTTAAAAAAGTATTATAATAGTTAATTAAAATAAAATAAGAGAAAATTGAAAATAAATTGAGAATTATACCACAAATATGACCAAATGGAAAACACAGTAGCAATGTTAGTATTGGGCCATATAATAATCAAGATAAAATTTTAAAGGAAAAATAATGCCAAATGATCATAAATTGATATGCATTTAGAAACATCTATGGCAACAACCTGTCAGAATTCTACAGAAAAGTAAATCAACAATTGCAGTTGAATATTTTAACTCACCTCTCTCAAAATCATAAATCTGACTTTAGCCTTCCTTTCACCTATTCTTTAGCACAGGCCTTGAATCTTGTCATCCTCTAAACCACTACATTTCTAAAATCTTAAATTCTATGATCTCACTGACCAAAACACAATCTTGCTTTTAGATCCAATCTAGAGCCTGTTGCAAGTCAACTAAACAATTTTCAGTTTATGACTCTCTCTCTCTCTCTCTGTCTTTGCCTTATTAGCTTTTGGCCCAGTGATCCCAAACATCCCAGGTTTCCACCTCTCCAACTCCTGTCAACTCTGAATTCAAGGTGGAAGAATGGTTTCTGCCAACCATCCTACTGAAATTCCTTTTGTTGTTGTTGTTGTTGTTTTCTTGACTGCTTATCAGCCAAACTCAAGATATTTATCAACCCTTATTTTGCTAGACTTGGCTACCACACTTGAGTGTATAGTTCATTTAAACTAACTTCTTTAAGCTAACTCTTTGGTTTCGATGACAGCACACTGGCTATGTATTTATTTTACTTTTATAGTTCCTCCTCTCTGACCACCCCCTAAATATTGCTAATGGCTCAACCCCATCCTTGGTTCATTGCTCTTCTTACTCTCTTCATGATCTCTAGGAGCTCTCTTTCTCACGTGAACTTTTAAGTATCCCCCTGTCCCCCGCTCCCCCACCCCATGCTGACATGTCTAGATTACTCTCCTTGAGGCAAACTTGGATCTGTAGCTATCACTGGCATCTCTACATGGTGATCTCCCAGATACCCCAACTCTAGCATGTTCTGATAGAGGGTCTCATCATCTTTCACTGCATTATAGAAGTAACCTCCCAATTGGCCCTCTCTCTCCAGGATTCCTCTCCTCCATAGCAGACAGAATGATATTACAGCCAAATCTGATTATGTCACTCCAGCCCCCACATTTAAACCTTTCCAGGATTTGAAATTTCTTTGCATGGAGTGCCAGCCTTTCTGTGATTTGTCTACATCTCTGGTGTCAACTTTTGCTACCACCTGTTCCCTTTTTCTGCTCACTGCATTTTCTGGTCTTCCCCATCTTTATTTTCCACTCATCCTACCTCATCTGTGTAAATGTTCTACTAGCCACTTTCTCCAAGTTTTACTATTGATATTTCTGAATAAGAACAGCACTTTCATGCTCCTATCTGTACCACTGTCCTTGCTACATAATATTATAATTATTTGCTAACTTTTTTCCTCTTCCATTCAACTTATAGCTCCTGGAAGTTACAGTTGGTAGGAAAACAAGACAATGAATAATTAAAACATAGCATGTGCTATGAAAATGCTGTGATAAATGCAATTTTTATCCACATGATATGGGTGTTACTATGAAAATTCAGAGAATAAATGCTTATCTACACAGGGAACTACCAGCAAAAGCACCTTAGAGAAGAAACCTGAGATGAATTTTGGAGAGAGACTTAGAATTATCTCGACAAATGGTGAAGACTGAATGTGTAGATGGTAAAGAAAGGACATAAGAATGGAGAACCCGGCCACTGTGAGAACCACTAGTGAACCCATATGGCTGAAGCACAGAGTGCCATGGGCCAGCTGAACGATAAGTCTGGGTCAGGAGGCAAAGGTTAAGTATGGAAGGGTCCTCTGTGCCAGGAGTACAAATTTTATCCTCTGGAAAGGCCCAGGCTATAAAACGCTTCTTTTGATTTTGTATTTCACTGTCTCAGAGACCATTAATCACCAAGTTACTCCTAATACCATCCCCCAAATCCTGAAACTAAGGATGTTCTTACAGACTTACTCTGTAGTAGCCATGATATCTGACTTCTTTGAATTAATGAAATGTTCTCTGATGTCCCAGCAAGACAAGCTCAGGAAAAAGAAACGCCAAAGAATGGCAATAGTCACCATCTCCTGAGGCCCCATTCTGCCTTTGTGTTAGGACCTTTAAAAAATGCAAGCAGCTCTTCCAGTTGTAGGAATGCTGGGAAGAGAGGTTAAGGACTGAGACCACACAGCTAGTTAAGTGGTGGTTCTAACCCCATGAATCAAAAAATATTAGGAAACTGCAACGACATAGGATACATCTTAGCTATGAAAGATAACAAGACCGTGAATGGTGGCAGAATATGAAAATGTGCACATAAGAAGTGGACTTCAAGAGAACACACACTGACGAAAACTACAACATACTGAATAAAATTATGATTAAGTAGAATTAACGATAGAAGAAACTTTACATACATAGTCAAAGGTACAATGGTTTAAAAAATAGCAAAAAAAAAAAAAAAAAATCCGTGGCTAATGTGCACATTGCCCCCAGAGCTCTGCACCTTTGGGGCATTCGGCCCTTCTTAGCTGCTTCCTTTGACAGGCACCACCTAAAAGACTACTAAAATCACATAGATTTCTTTTATAATGTAAAAAATTCTTATAAAAGAAAATGTAAGTTGTGTGCCTAGGGAATAAAAACATTTACTAAGAAAAACTGAGAACACCGATATATGTTACTTATCCTTTCCTATTTTTTAGAAAACATATTTCATAAGATACATAATATCATATTCTGGGTTTTGCCTGGAACTGACTGGCATATGAAAATCCTTAGGGATTTGTTTTTTTCCCTTAGAAATCAATCTTCCACACAATGAAATGAACTTTGGAAGAAGGTGGTAGTAAGAAAAATTGTGTTGGTTGAGTTCTAATATTTACTATACAGATGATTTTCATCCTACATATATTTTTATGCTCTTCATAGAATGAATAGAGAACTAACCTTACATTGCTTTTTTTAAACAATTATTTATATAGTCACTATTGAGAAGTATCAGTAAATATCCATGTAGAGCTTTATGCTGTTTTGGATTTCAATGAGTCCTGTTTTGTGGTTGTTTTCTATTTTATTAAGCAGTCTACCAGATACTTATTATTTTCCCTTTGCCTGATGAATGTAAAATTTGTAAAAAAATGAAATCTTCCTCTACCACTTTGGAATTCACATAATGGGACACTGAGCATTACTCTTTGGTGACTGGAGGCTACTGACTTCACAGCAAAAAGCAGCAATCTGAAGTCAGTAATAATCATCAGGAATGTAGATTGGAAGATTAAACGCGGGAGATCACAGGACCATGGCTCCATCTAACAAATCAAATGGGAAAAAAAAAAAAGAAAGAAAGAAAAGGAAACGAATAGAAAGCTCAGCTATAAATGCTGTTTTTCTACACTGAGATATTAAAGGAAGTCTTTTTCCCAGTTCTGGTGGTTTGCCAGGTCAATACATTCTTCAGTACTTTTCGAAGTTCCATTCATAAGCAGGTCACGATAAATATAAATTCCATGACGGTACACATTCTTATTCATTTTGTATCCCTGGCACCTCTAAGTTCCTGTTATTTAGTAAACGGTAGACAGTATTTGTTGAAAATAGAAATGAATGAATAAATAATTAATAGTAAGAAATCCAAATGTAATTCCATAAAACATTAAGTGCAATAACAGTTTTAGTCTTATTTTAGAGCACATGTTGACTGCTATTTAAACAACTTCTTCCTGTTTTATTTTAATGGGTATTTAAGATAATACAACTATCGATAAATATTTTAACTAAATATACCAGACAATCCTTACAAAGCTAAATCTTCCTAACATAAATGACTGTTAGAGCCCATTTTGACTCACACTGATACATAACTGAAATGAGGTATTGAGAAATGAACTGTTATATTTTATTATGCAGAGGAATCAATATGTGCATAACTAACTATTATAAATGAATACATTAAGACATCCCTTTTGCTAAATACATTTGCATTTGGAATGTTTACTATAAAAATGTAGAGTTTAATCTCTCTACAGTTTTTTCAAAAGCTGATTATATATTTTCATAAGTAGCTACTAGACATACATGCCATTCCACATTGTCATCTTCTTTCCCAAGAGTTAGTAACTTGGTGAGTGGATTTCCAGTAAAGCCAGCGTCACTCTCGGGAGACAGGTGTCCTTGCTGCACCAGAAGCGCACTGCTTGGCGTTGGAGGGTGTGACCGTTTAGGAGTCTGGTTGACAAGCTGGTAGTCAAGGGTCATGAAGGGTTTTACTTGTTGTCTCTGGACTTTCTGTAGCTGGGATTTTGCAGGATTTTCCAGATGTGCTGAGACCTACCGAATAAAAATCAAACAAATACAATGTGTAGTATCACCTGGTAAATCAGAGTTCTACTTTCAACAACTGAATTATGTTAATAGACACATTACAACATCTACTTCTCTCAAATTTACGGTTTATGCTTCTATCATAATTTACGTACCCTACTAACGGATGACCGTTTTTAAGAAGTAGCTTAAACTTACAAAAATGTGTTCAGTGCTAACCAAGTTTTTAAGAACAGCTCTCAAAATAACAGGTAACTGAACCAAAATTGGGAATAAATGTATAAGTAGCAATACGTTTTGAGGTTCTAGAAAAGGAAGCCTAAAATAATAGAAGGAAAATAGAGTAATTTTCATATAATATGTATTTCTTGGATTTTTTAATATTACATATAAATATTCCATGGGACATAATCACAACCATTTTTATCAAATATTTTAAAAAATTGCTCATGATGGGGCGCCTGGGTGGCTCAGTAGGTTAAGCCGCTGCCTTCGGCTCAGGTCATGATCTCAGGGTCCTGGGATCGAGCCCCGCATCGGGCTCTCTGCTCAGCAGGAAGCCTGCTTCCCTTCCTCTCTCTCTGCCTGCCTCTCTGCCTACTTGTGATCTCTCTCTGTCAAATGGGTAGATAAAATCTTTTAAAAAAAAAAAAATTGCTCATGATGAACAGAAACTAGAAATATATATATAAAATATTAAGTATGATATGAGTGGTGAAATCTAAGTAATCAAAGTAATTTTTTCCATATTTAAAAAAAATTCTGTGCTAGACTTATTTTTATTTTTTATTTTTAAAAAATATTTATTTATTTATTTATTAGAAAAAGAAAGAGAGAGAGAGAAAGAGAGAGCACCAGTTGGGGGAGGAACAGACAGAGAGGGAGAGGGAGAGAATCTCAAGCAGACTCTCTGCAGAGCATGGAGCCCTCTCTGGGCTTCATCCCACAAACCTGAGATCAGGACCTGAGCCAAAATCAAGAATCAGATGCTTAACGGACTGAGCCACCCAGGCACACCCTATTTTTAGTCTTAAAAAATCTTATTTTTAGGGGCATCTGGCTTGATCTTGATCTCAGGGTTGTGAGTTTGAGCCCCACATTGGGTGTAGAGATTACATAGGTATATACATACATACATAATCTTACTTCTAAGCTTTTCCATATTCTCACTTAGTAATAATTGTGTAGATGATTATGAATCGTAGGAAGCATTCAGAGAAAAATCTAACCAGTGTCATGTGCCAACTAAACAACTGTCCCATATTTTGAAATCCCTTTTCAAAACATAGCCTTAAAATTCTAGCTAGTTATCACTGTTAACAATATAACATGGAGTGCAGAAGTGTAATTTTAACCATGTCAAGCTTTTCTTTTAAAAGACTTTGAAAGTAGTATTGCCTGCCAGTCCTCTTTATATTTACTATGCTGTGATGTGGCTTCTAATACATTTTCCTCAAGTGGCCTATATATAAACCTACTTAATATTTCTCTCATGTTAAACAATAGTAAAGATCGCTGTACAGTGCTTATTTTTCCTTTTATTTCAGCTACACAAACTACTCCTTAAATCCCTTAACATGCATTAGCCCAGATAAATAGCCTTTACAAAGTATTTTGCATTTAAATTAGCTGGTTTGGGGTACAATATTGTAGTAGTTACTTTAGTCTAATTCTGTTATGCTGACATTTTAAGCATTATTTTAATTGTAGTACCATAAAATAATTTTTCAGTCATATAAAAAAGATTAAGATTGGTAATAAAGATTACACATATTACTAATTATATTGCTATGAGCTTTAAAGTTGTAAAATAACATTTCATTAAAATGCCAGTGATCATTTTTCTAGGGGAGCTGTTTAGATTATCTTACAGTTTTAGTTAATCCTTCTTAATCTGTGTACATTTACAAAATATACATTATAAATAGCATCTCCAGATTTACAAATCATACGATGTAATTGAAGACTAAAGAGCATTGTATCCCCACGAAAGGAAAATGCCTCTTGTTCTAAGAAAAGTATGTTGAATCAGAATTTATAACATTCATTAACTAATTCATTTTTTTACTTTTCATCCATTGACTCTAAGAGCTTTCATTAGGGTACTTATTGCATTTGGTGTTACATCAAGAGAAGTCGTAAATGTGATCCCAGGGCTCTACAGGCCTATGATCTAGTTAGGCAGTATTAATATCAACTACAGTAAAAACAATAATGATAATAATAACATGCAACAGGTACCAGGATATTTACATTCATTATTTCCTTTAATCTTTGTTACAACTTTAGGAGGGAAGTATCATTAGTATCCCCACTGCCTTATGTAGATAAAGCCTCAGAGGCAGAGAGATTTAATAACATGCCTCTCATTACTCTGCTAGTAAGGGACAGAGCTGGAATACAGAGCCTACCTAAACACTGAGCACTATTGGCTCTTGAGTAAATAATTTAAATGACTGGAGTGCAAAGGAAAAGCTCAGTGATGTATACAATGAATTAAAAATGCCACAAAAAGCAGTGGATTTTTAAAATGAATTATAAGAGGAAGTGGTTTTAAATCAGGTGTTGGAAGGAAATGGCCCTGCACAGGGGCAAAAGGAAGGAAATCTCAAGAGCAAAAGATCAAAGAAAACAAGAAAGAAGACAAGAAGTTGGGAGACAGGAGCACCTGGGTGCCTCAGTGGATTAAGCTTCTGCCTTTGGCTCAGGTCCTGATCCCAGGGTCTTGGGATCAAGCCCTGCCTCAGGCTCCCTGCTCTGTGGGGAGCCAGCTTCTCCCTCTCCCTCTCCCTTCGCTGGCTCCCCCTGCTGTGCTCTCTCTCGCTCTCTCTCCTGCTCTCTGTCAAATAAATAGATTTAAAAAAAAAACAAAAACTTCTATATCTGCAGCCAAATAAAGAGAGATTTGTTTAAAAAAAAAAAAAAAGGTTGGGAACCATTCACATATGTTAGTTGTGAAAAAGAACTCACATGAATAGAGTTTTCCTTTCTCAAAACAAGACCACCATATCCTCTGCAGACCATTCTATAGAGTTGAAGCAAAACATAAAATGGGATTAACTTTAATTCTGCCGAAATTATTGAGTTTTTGTCGTTTTGTCTTTTGGGGTTTTTGTTTGTTTTTTTACAGAAAATTACAATGGGTTAGAGGGCAAAAGTGAGGACCGTCTGGGACCCCATCTACAGAACATCTGTAGAGAGAGCATAAGGGACTAAAAGCTTAGTGGAGCAGGAAAGATACAATGGAATGTGAAAAAAGTACTCCCCAGAAAATCTCCATCATCTTCTATCATGAACTGATTATCAGAACAATGAGACAACTAAGTGTAAAGCAGCAGCTAAACCATGTGCAGCCTATTTTTTAAACTATTTTATTTATTTATTTGACAGAGAGAGAGAGAGAGAGAGAGAGAGAGAGCGCACCAGTGCACAGGCAGGAGGAGTGACAGAGAGAGAAGCAGACTCCTCGCAGAGCCGGGAGCCCATGAGGCTGGATCCCAGGACTCTGGGATCATGACCTGAGCCAAAGGCAGATGCTTAACTGACTAACCCACCCAGGTGCCCCTTGTGAAGCCTATTTTAAAACACTTTTAAATTGACTGGCATCTGAAGACAAAGCCATGAAACTACTGGCTTTCCCTTACTGAAGATCCCAGTATTTTGTGAGATGAAGTAGATGAAATGATAGGTTGCCCTTGTTCATTTATTCACTTATTCAAGAAATATATTTTGAGTGCCAAGTGTCTGTGTGCTGAGAGGTACATCGAAGGCAGAAGGGAAATCAGCACAGTGCCTGCCTTCATAGAACGACGGTCTAGTCAGAGTTTGGACAGGGAAGAAAAATGCAAGATCTCCAAGGGCAAGGACTGTGTTTTTCTTGCTGACAGTTTTCCTCCCATACATCCTGTACATAACCCAGAGAATGGCACCCAGCCGGTGATTAAAAATGCATCTACATGCGTTCAGTGAATGAATGAATGAGTCATTGAAGTACAGAGTTTGAATAACAATGATGACCCCAGAGAGCTTTGGGAATCTACTAGAAGAGCTGGTAAACCATAACCAGAATGTCAAAGTCTTCACCTAGAAAGTCGGAGCAGCTGTAGACTGTGATTTGGTTCACTGGACTGTCAAAGAGATTGAGACCATCCAAATGTAAAGGAATTTTGCCTATGAAAACAAATAAGTAAATCATATCCCCAGAACTTAGTACTATGCTTGAGCATTACCACTAGGATATACCGCCATTGGAAACTAAACATAGACATGGTCATGTTGAGTCTAATGCCTGCATGCAGAAATCTGTTTTATTTCACTTAAAAGAATATATTTATAGTCTCCTTATTTTCCAAGACGTTATAAATAAATATGAAGTGTGAATGTGGTAAGAGATATTTATACCAGGAAATGTAGGCTGAAGATTAAATTTCAATTAAGTATAAAAACTTACCGATGAACATCCTGGCAGCCAAGGAAAAAGGAGAATTAAATATATATATATTATCTATATGGGTCAACCTAATATATATTTTTTATTAAATAATTAGATCATACCAGTTCTGAGGAAAGACAAATATTTTTACAAATAATCTCTGAGAATTTATAAACTGGATTTTTTCATGGAGGACTTGAACAAGAATCCCAATAGCAGTTTTTGTAAAATAGGCAAAGAAATTCTTCATATGCCTATATTTTTAAAAAAATCACCTTAAGTTGGGTTACCCAGGAAATATACTCTGAGACATGCCTGCAGGAGATTTGTTGGGGGTTGATTTCAGAACCTCAGCCACAGTAGGGTGAGGAGAACAGGATCAGGCGGAGGGAAGAGTGGCTCACTTGTGAAGGGGATCATCTAGGCAATGTACCATACCACACACTATTTTTATTTCTGATCAAAGGCATAATATGAATCAGCTCCAGTGAAAAGCCCAAATACATAACTTTGTACAAATCTGACTGGACCCTGAGATAGCACTCACAGCCTCCCGAACAATTTACACAGCAGA